CTGCAACCATCAGAACAGAACTGCAATTGTCAGCCGAATGGTTAAAATGCTATTACGCTTCAGTGAATTTCACAAAACAAATAGTGTTCGGAAATTTCCTGCTTTTACTAAGACAGTTTGGATTAAAATTGGTGAAAAGTTGATCAGATTTATTTGAAAGTACCGAACATTGCTGTTTTTAAATAACTAAACACTCTGATAAACAAAAAAGTTTTTAGAAAATTTTTAAAAACAAAATTTTCAAAGTTATCTTCGTTTGTAAATGTTTAAAAAACAGTTCAATGCGTTTTCAACGTTCTCAACAAAAGCTGTTTAAGTTGAAAAAAAAACTGATAAAAATTAGCATTTGCTTATCTTATTTCTTAATTTTTATGCATTTTTTGTGAAAGGTGAACTTTCTAGCATTAAGTTTTTGATACTTTATGAAGAAAAAAATGTAAATAATTTGAAAAAAAACTTTGTCGTAGTAAAAAAAAAAACCAGAAAAAAATTTTTGAAAAAGTTTATAAATATTTATTCAAAAGTCTTGAAAATATTCAATGATAAACGCTGTCGTATAACTGTAATTAATCTGTTAGTCAATAGCTAAAAAAAATTTTTTTCATTTTACAGGAAATATCAAAGTAATTTAATTAAATTTTTTGTGACTGAATGACTTTTTTTATGACTTTTTCGTGACTGTCTAAGATGAATGTTTCTCTTCAAAAAACAAATAAGAAATCATTTAAATTTTAAAATTTTCTTCTCTGCTTATTAGAAAAACATTGCTTATACAAAACTGAAAAGGTTATACTGACAGCAAAAAATGATTAGAAATAATAATACTTTAATAAAAAGCTTAAAATTTAAAAACAAAAAAAAAATATTTTGGAAAGTTGTAAAAGTAATATTTTTGAAATTACAAATGATAAATGTACTGACAGAAAAGCAGTAAACAACACCTTTTGCCAGCAAAGTAAGCACACTTATACTCACTTATAAAGTAAATTAATGCAGGATTTTTGATGATATTCTTAACTGTAAGATTTATTGTTTAATACAGATCATTTATCTTTGATACAGCAATGTCAGAGAACAACTTTTGCCACTAAGTTACAGAAAATTTTGAATTTTCACTGACAAATTTATGTATCAATATATTGAACAGTTGATTTAAATATACATTCACCACATAATCTCTTTCTTTTTTTTCAGAGGTATGTAAATTAGTCGTTGTACACTGCTGTTGTAACTATAATGAGGTTTATATTAAAAAAAAAAAAAAGTATCTAAAGCCGGTAAATAAATCTCTAAATTGAACATTAGAAGCGTCAAAATATTGAACAGCTTTACAGAGTCACTTTAGAAATCCCATTTTGTGTCAGTTATTGTCTTTATTTTTTACTTTTCAATTAATTTATTAGAAATAAAATTTCAAACTAGTTTTTTTTTTTGATGGTAATGACAGAATAAAACACTATTTTAAACAAATAAATTTGCATTTAAAGTTTTATTAGCGTACAAATGCCTGTTGGTACACGCTGATTTTTACTTTCATCTCCTTTTTATTTTCTCTACGTTGTTAAGCCTAT